GATTCACACTGTAATATTAAAAAATATCAAAAATTGAAAATAAATTTATTTATTTCATTATTAAATAATGTTGATGCCCATGAAAAGTACATTAAGGCTGCGCCATTTCTCACAAGTATCTCAGAGGGTGTAAAGGACATGGCACAGATATGCCATACATCAGATTCACATCACCATGGGCAATCAACAAAACAGATTCTTGAAGAACAGGTGCTAGTGGAGAAGATTAGGAAGATTGTTAGAGAAAACATGATAAATCCTTTTACTTCTACAATCCTCGATGATCTCATCAACATCTCCCAAGGGCAAAAAGCTCAATCCACTGAGGTGATAAATGCCCGACAACTTGGAATAGAAGCAATGAAGAAAGCAGAAAAAGAGGGAAGCAACATGAAATCATACCACCTAGCGTTACAACGTTTTCTATCAAGACGAAACCAGTGCCCTCAAAGGAAAAGAGTCTTGTGCACATCTACCAAGAAGATAGTTGTGTATTCAGGACTTTGTGCTTTCTCCAAACATGCGACGAACAAACAAGAAAGAAAGCATTTTCACATGAATGGACGAATTACCCTTCATCTCTTTTCRAGTAGATCCCAGAGTCCTGCAAGGTTATTGTATCAGAAAGGGAAGCAAGTCAGACTTTCTCTCCGCGTGGTTCAGAGTCTATCGCTCCCTTGAGCACTCCACTTCATTCACTTCCTGATTCAAGTGTCCCAACGGCATTTCKTGTTGATRCCATGGCATTTGTCAATYGTTACCAATTCTTAGGAGCTAAAACGTTTGAAGAAGCCGTGAAGCTTTCTATTAGATGCATTCTAAAGTGCAAGCCTTCACATTGSACTTTGGTAAATATCATYGGAGACAGATACGACTTTGGGGAAGATTAGTCAATAAAAACAGATGAGCGACAAAGACAGGACAATTCAGTGTCAAGAGAGTTCCAGCCTGTCGTATGATACGGATATTTTCTGGAACTACACATTAACAGTTAAGGTGGCTCCATAACAGTGCTTTATATTTTCGATGACAAAACCTTTTGTAAGATATTTGTTATAGTTAATTGTCAAAGATTACAATTACTTGTTTAAAGAATATTTTCTGAAATTGTTGAATCTTACAAACAACAATAATAATAATATCTATTTATATAGCRCARTATTCAACATTACCGTTTTCACATGCGCTTTACAATTCCAAAAGAAGAATACATTATAGAAAAAAATTCTTGAATAAATTCCTAAATATATAAATTACAACAAAGTTTGTACTAGGAAAAAAATATATATATATATGATAATCTAAGATACTAATATAATTTATAGTTTACATTATGATTTAAAAATATAAGAAATTAATAATATTAAAATATAAATACATTATAAAATTCAKGCAATTCTACATGTGAACATAAATAATGCAAATCAATAACATTGTATRAATAGGTGGGTTTTCAATTTCTTCTTAAAAGTGTCCAGATTCTTTTCCTCGCGTATTGCGTCTGGAAGATCATTCCAAAGTTTGGGGGSAGCCRTGGTGAAAGCACAGTCCCCCASAGTAGCTAGAGTGCGAAATTTTCGATCGTAATGCATATTTAGAGTAGGGAAATCAGATCACAGATATATTGAGGTGCAAGTCCATAAATAGCTTTAAAAGTCAATAAAATGATCTTAAAGTTAATTCTACTTCTAATGTTAAGCCAGTGAAGATCAACCAATAGTGGGGTGATGAACTTATTYTCAAGGTGGTTCAGCAACACTGAGTGGTCAATDAGGCCGCGCTCAAGGAATACCAGAAGTGTAACTTGTTGTTTGTTCATGTTAAGTAATATGTCATTGCGCACTCGTAGTAATGCTGTWTCAGTGCTGTGGAGAGGGCGATAGGCTGATTACAAAACARGGAGGAGMCCATTCGCCATTACATGAGAAAGGGACTGCTGCGCAACTGCTCTTTCCGATCGACGAAAGTTCTTTTTAATCGGCTCCAGCATAGGTTTTTTAATCCTTGGTTTAACAAGCRCACCCTTCCAGTCATCTGGGAAATYACCTGACTGAAGAGAAAGGTTGATAATGGATGAGATGGTAGGTGATAGTTCATCTAAGCACTGCTTAACAATACTGGTGGGCATTGGATCGCTAGTACATGATTTTGAAGGTGCACTGGTGATGAGTTTTCRTACCGAAGTCAACGGCAAAGTCTCAAACTCAGAGAGAGGTGTTCCATTGAATGGAGTAGATGGTACGACATYGAATTCAGTGGTGCAAGACACGTTGTCCCCTAAGGTAGAACGAATATTGACGATCTTGCGATAGAAGAACTCACCAAAGTCATTGGCYAGGCTGGTAGCRCATGTATAAGGAGGAAGGATGTTCTCGCCTTGCTCAGAAAGCAGGCTATTAACAGCTTTAAAGAGCCGTCGCTGGTCTGTACTATTCTCATTGATGAAATCTGTATAGTATTCTTTTTTAGCTTTTTCGATGATATGGTTAGCATGATTCCTAGCCCTGGTAAATACAAGTCTGTCCGATTCCAAGCCCGTAGCACGCCAGACACGTTTATGTTTGCAGCGTTCCCTTTTTGCTGCTTTGATGGAGTCATTAAACCATGGYACGYGCGGCCGAACTATGATGCTTATCTCGTTGCCATGGCAACCATTACATGGAAACTTATGTATTTGAGCATGCTTGTTACATAGTTAAAATATACAAGTAATGAGCATATTATTGAAAACTATATGTAATAAATGGATGTTGTCAACCATCTGTCTATAAGAATAGGTCCCATTGGTTACCAATATGTCTCCTTTATTTTTGTACAATTCGCATTGTGCAAAATGTCTGGGCGGTCTAGCATCGGTTTTCTCTCACCTTTGACACTGATTAGGTCAAAAATTTTATATCAGGCCATACAACGTTTTCCAATTTTTTTGCCCCGGCCCCCTAACTATTGCTCTCCAGTTGTGTTTTTGCATATGTTTCTTTAGAAAAACAATGATTTTATATTTGCTATCAATTTTGAAATATTTAGTGTTGAGACTTGAAACTTTGTCTTCTTACTTATTTTGATCCCCTCTTTCYATTTCTGRACATCATTTTTTGATAGCTGATTGATTYAAGGTAGGTGTGGTCTGTGACCCCCAGCTGCAATGGGCCTTTTCTGATATTTGTTAGTAATCATGATTCAAATATTTATAGGGTTGTCTTTATAGCTTCTTTGTATGGAAATCTTTCAAAGCTGAAATATGTTTATAGTACTCTATAAAAATGATTCCTGTTATTATTTAATCATTTTCTACAGAAAGATGGAACTTAAGGAAATTTTTTAAAGTTTACTARCATGAAAATTTYTGTTTTCTAGTTTTCCCATGGGCTGTGCCAAAAACAGAACATACAGCTGATATGTTGAGATCAGAAGATGGTGAGYATGCTGGGTTACGAAATGTTGCTCATTGTTTGTCTTTTRGTGTTCATGRTTKTTATTCATTAAGACAGTGAGATTGAAATTATATATTACGTCATGTGCATGTTCAATATTACTATTGAATGAAATGCATAATGATGTTTTTTCACATAAATTGTATTGAAGTTTGTGAAATATAGATAATAGCATGTTTTGAAGCAATATGAGATAAATACGATGAGTGATATTTCAAAATTCTGACTTTTTGTGGGCAAAGCATTATGAACCCCAAGGTCAAAGTGTTGACCTTTTAAAGGCAAAGTCTGCTAAAAAAAGAGCAGTGTCAACTGTTAGGGGGAAAGCGTTGTAAGTTTGAGCTCTGTTGCGATTTTCAAGTGAGTTTGGTAAGTTGTTCCATTATTTTCATCTTCAAAATAATTATTTTTCAATTTTTCAATATTTGTAGAATTCAGTGCTTCAAGATCTTAAAATTTTCTTAAGATTTTAGATTCTTGGCCCTTACTGACATTGGCTCTTAACCTTTGAGTGCAAAGTGTTAACCATTAAGAGCAGTGATTTGTCCTTTGACATTAATTAACGCTTTTAACTGCTTTGCCAAACATAAATGCGCTTTTCCCTTACACTGCGCCAATAACAATTAACACTTTGCCCTTATCGGTGAACAGTAAACCCTTAACGATTAACGCTTTGCTCTTAACGGTTAACACTATGCACTTGACGGTTAACACTATGAATTTGACAGTTGACACTTTTCCGTTAATGGTTAATGCGTTTCCCTTAGCAGTTGCAAAGTGCTATGTATAGTTTACAACATGAGCGGCCGTGTTGTAAAACGACTTATAAAACTCCTACACAAATTAA